GGAGAGACCCACTCTGTCCACTGTTAACAGGGCGGCAAGTGAGGGGTCATCCTACGTGGAGCCAGGGCTCAGCCCCGGACACGGAGCGGTGTGCGGAGAGACAACTGCTCAGGGCTGCTTGGGGAGTGGAGAAGCCGCCTTGCCGTGCCTGACAGCACCGCAGAAAGAAGGCTGTTGGCTGCCCTCGCAGCGAGGTCCTCACTCCAGCAGCACTGCCTTGCCTGTCCTCTCCCCACTTAGTGGACAAGTGGGAACTTGTTTGCGCTAGGGCGTGTGCGCTCTCCCTTCTCCTCAAGACAAACTCTGAAGAGGGAGCGGGCTGCAGCGCGCTGCCTCCCTGATGCTGTGGCTCAAGGCCAAAGGCAGGCAAGCGCGGAGCAGATGGAGTCCTGGCAAGGCCTCTGCCGTCCCTGCATTAGCAGCATCTGCTCGTTACTCAGAGCCTTCGCCTGCTCTAGCTAATGCTCCAGGAAAAGCATTTTGATTTGATTCATTTCGGGACGGTAACGTGCAACACAATTAGTGGTAAAATCAAACTGGAGGATGGCCAGTGCTGACAATCGGAAACAAGGCAGAAGAAATATGAGGCCAGTGGGTTGGAATTCAAAAAATCACAACTGTGGATCATCTTGCCAAATCTCGACACCCCAGGTGCGTGTCCAGAGCTCCTGCAGAGCAGGGAGGCAGAAAAGGACTTGGAGACGACTTACTTTCTCCCAGAGTTGCCATCTTCCCCTGGACAAGGTTCCTTCTGAGGAGAATACAGCAGAGACCACCGAGGGTCTCGGCGACTGCAGAGCTTCACTTTGGCACAACTAGAGGGCTGGAGTTCTTTAACTCATTTTATTATTTTACCCTTCTTTTTTGTGGAGCACAGTAACAAATTTTATACCGCAGACTCCACAAGGCAAACTTCCCTTTTGCCAAAGAAGTGCCAGTTCATGGCTCTTGGTAAGGAGGGAGGAAAAAATGTGCACTTGAATCTGTCTTGGCCCAGAATTAGCTGTTCACAAATATGTTGGTATAAATATCACAGTGTTCATGTATGAGACAAAGGATGCCACCTGAAGTCTGGGAAAGAAGAAGCTGGTGGTGTTTATCACAGAAATGACAACAACCTGACCAGGTCGGGAAGACAAGGTCAGCCCAAGAGGGAGCAAGGAGACTCAATGGCTCTCAACCAAACACACTTGAGACAAAGCCAAGGCTTCAAGGTAAACGCTGCACCCTTGCAAGTACATACTTTACTATCCAGAGTGAAGTGATCATCTTCCAAACAAGACACAAACGCAGAAGGGTGAGACTGACAAACCTAATGCAAATGTAAACTCCTGGACAGCTCAACTGAGACAGAAGATAAAAGTCCAAATGCAGGCCAAACACAAGAATTTCCTATGCACAAGTTTATGAAGGTGGCACTCCAGCCTGCAAGGGGAAGATGGGCTTTCGTGTAAGAGATGCTGGGAAAGGGATACGCTTGGGTCCATATTCCTATCAATCCAGGATGAACTCTCTATCGACCAAGATAAGAGATAAGCCAAGATAAGCCACAACAGTAACAGAAAAAACAGAAATAACTTCAAATAGCAGATATACATGTGAAAAAAAATTCAACCCCTCTCACACTACATGTAAATTAAAACTATATTCATATACCAAATCTTATATCAAATTGATAAATACCCTAAAGTTGAAAGCATACGTTATGGTAGAACTGAGAAAACAGGCACAGCCTCACACTTTACTGTAGGAGTTCAAAACAGCACAGCTTCATTCACACCTACCCTTTGATCCAGAAAACCCCTTGTAGCAAACTATCCCTCCGGTGCTCACATGGAATGTCATCTGCACAAAGTTCTCCCTATGAGTGTGTGCAACAGCAAACGAACAGATGCAACACAACTGCTCTTCAGTGAGCCACAGAGCTGTAACAACGGACTATTGTGGAGGTGTGCGCGACCTTCCATGGTACATTGTTACATGGAAAGAAAGCCAAGGTGTGGAATGACAAAGTAATATGCTCTCGTTTGTCAGAAGAATACAGTGAGGAGGAGGATATTCATATTTGCTTGTAATTGTGATGCCAAAATACTGGAAGGATATAACAAAAAACCAAAAATATGGTCACTTCAGAGTGGAATGGACAAAAGAGTGAAAGCAAGATTTCTCAATGTGTAATTGTTTATATTATTTTGAACCCTGGACCCTAAAAATACGCTACTTAGTAAAAAATTATTAAATTACAAAACAGAACTCATTTATGCATTAAAAAATTGAAATCACATGTACACAAAAAGTACCTTCTAGAAAAATAGACCATAAACCAAGTCCACTGAAGAAAAAATAAATAGCAAACAAAAAAATAACTGAAATACCTATGACAGAGTTATTTCCTTAGCCCTTTGTTTTAAACCAGAAAAGCTAACAACCCAAAAGAAAAATGGATGAAAGACTGGAACAAGCAACTTGTAGGCAAAGAAATAAAAACAGCTAAATACACAGTGAAAAGATGTTTTCATGTACTTCTAATTAAAGATAGACAAAAACAAAAATACCACTTCCACTATCAGACATGCACGAGGCAAGCCACTCATCTAGTTCTGGTAGATTAGCCACTGCCTTCTTGAGGCAATTCGACAATATTTACCCAAATATAAACAACCCAGCACTGACTAATAATTTAGTTCATGCATACACTTGCACAAGTTCATCCTGATATCTGTCCAAGGCACTGCTTTCAACACTACTTTTAGTAACAAAAAAAAGAGCTCAGGTGCACATCATCAGAGGCAAATAGATCAATTATAGCACAGTTACACGATGCAATCTACACAGACACTAAAATGAGTAAATGCAATACAATCACCAAGGTATGTCATTAGGTGAAGAAGGCGAAGTACAGAAGAGTACAGAGAGCAGTCTGTGTGTAAAACACGAGAGGCTTAGAAGTGGGGAGGGGGGCAGGGAGCAACACTTCAGCTTCTTTTTTGATACATTTTCTTTTACAGTTCATATACAATTTTGTTTTTTAAATTTTAACTATGAAACTTTTAACCAAATATATGAAGTGTTTTGACAATAATATGCTAAGTATTTACCAAAAAAGTAGCTTCTTTATAGTATCTACACTGGTCCCCAATATTTCTGTGCAATAATAAGAGTGAGGGGGACAAAGACAATTCCAACACACACTATAAAACCAGGGGCTGGGATGCAGCTCAGTGGTAGAGCATATGCTTAGTTAGCCCTTGTTAATTCCCAACCCTTAGTATGCCATGTGTGCGCGCGCGTGTGTGGTTATGTGACAGAGATGGTGGGGGAGGTGGGAAACTGCAGGTGCACAGAACTAGGTAAGAAGTCTGAAGGTAGTAGTATAGGAATGCCCAAACACTGGACAGTTTTAGCTGATGGAAACAGAAGTTCAGTGGCCACGATATCCACCTGCCTGCTGTTCATGTGCCTAGCCTCCATTATGGTGGGAAGTGTGACTCTCCAGAAGCTTCCTTTGCCCACTTGCCTGGAGGTTGGACCACAGTGTACACACACACACACACAACTATCAGCCCATCTGAGTTTCACCTCAAGCTCCATCTGCGGGCTCACAAAACAAATCAGGTGCACATTTCTGCAAGTCTCTGTGTTCAATATTACACAACAGTACCACAACTGCAGCATAGCCAGAAGACACAATTACAGCTCTAGATTCACTACAGACTCCAACCTCAAACAAGTTATCTCGCTGGCTTCTCTACACGTCAACCTCCCTCACTCACAGAAGAGTATTTGTGTGCACACTCATGGGTGTGCATGGTAGATAGAGGCTATCAGGTGATACCAAAACTGTATGGTTCTAATTTAAAACTGACACAACTTTCACATATGCATTTTGAAAGAAAAATTCATGATCTGGAAAGTAGTGAACCTCCTCTAGCTGCTCTTATGCTATTTATCCAGGATCTCAATAACCATATATGAAATATTAATAACTACATCAAAAGCTTAGCTGAATTTCCATAGGCTAAATAGACAATCCAGCAATAGTGTCTAATAACATCAGACCAAAGCAGGAGAGTTCACTTTGCTAAAATAATAAAAATATTGGGGCTGTGAATGTAGCTCAGCTCCTGGGTTCCATCTCCAGAACTGAAAAAAATCTCATCTCCTTTATTTTTAAATGGTCTATAGAAAACTCTCCCATCAGCTACTTTGGCCTCATCCCTCTGAGTCAGCTGACGTGCACTGACTGAAGGTTTGCACCATTACCACGAAACAAACCCTAACATTCTGAACCCATTGTGATCCAACCTCCAGGCAAGTGGGGAAAGGAAGCTTCTGGAGAGTCACACTTCCCACCATAATGGAGGGAAGCATGAACAGCAGGCAGGTGGATATCGTGGCCACTGTACTACTGTTCCCATCAGCTAAAACTGTCAAGTGTTTGGGCACTCCTACACTACTACCTTCAGACTCTTCTAACCTAGTTGTGACCCCACAGTTGCTCACGCACAAAGAATTCCCTCAGGGCCAGAGGCGGCACATTGCCGTTGGGCATCTTGTGTGGTCTGGAAGTGCCAAGAAAAGGTAGGTGCTGACTTTTCTTATTTCCGTACCTGTCAGTAGATTATCTGTCTATCCCCTTATCACTGCTCCTTTTGGACTGCACAGAGGATAAAGCAAAAGTCGCCCGAATGTTTAATATTTTACACCAGACAAGTTATTTGCTTAAGATGACCTGGCCAGCCTTGTGGAGTCTGGCACCAGCACCCAACCTGACAGTTCCAGTAGGAATTAAACACCAGCTTTAAGGGGTACCATATTCCAATGCCCACTAAGGCACTGAGGGTTACTGGCCAGCTTCTTCACATAAAGGCAGCAGTGTGCACGTGACGTGTGTGCCCACGTGGATGTATGTGGGGAATACAGGGGGAACCAGCCACAGCTGCTTAATTTTTGTGAAGCTTTTTCTTTCCTTAATAGGGAGGAGGGCTGCAGTTACTTACCATCCTCATATGCGGCCACCGCCAGAGAGCTGTTTATCCTCACAAAGGAGACGTATGGCTGCATTCCAGGCTCGCCCTCCTCATAGTCTGGTTCCAGGAAGGGGGCCACATAGTCCCAGGTGCGGGTGTCCCACACCCTCACGTCCCCTGATGTATATCTGGAAAAGAAGGACACACTTGATTCCAAAAGGGGTCTAGAGAAAGCAGGGTAGGCCTTCAAAGGAGAGGAGTGAGAGTTGGTGGGTGAGGAGCCCCTCCTGTGCCAACAGGGGAAATGTCAGCTGCACGACAGAAGGCAGGGAATGTGGTTCACATTCTCACAGCACAATGGCGACAACTTCAAACGAGAAAACTGTAAGTAGAAATCGGGCATCAGGATCTCCCTGCTTTCCCGTTTATACTGTTACAACCAATCTGCTGCCTTAGTTCTTCCGCTAGCAGAAGTGTATGCAAGCAACAGTATTCACACACAAACATGCACTGGAGGAGAGGCGGCAGTGCTGCTCTAACTACTGTCCACAGACACGAGCTTTCTACCACTTCACTCTGCAGCAGGTCTGATGCCTTGAAGACACGCTGATTTGCTGAAACTATTAAATCTTGCCCAGACAGTGCTGCCTTCTCATGAAGAGCTCCGGTCAGAACCTAGAGCTCCCGGGTGTCACCCACTGAGGGTGCAGGAGCATCTCTGCCCCAGGCTGGGCCAGGACCTGCTGGGACATGAGGCCCCTGGGGCACGGAAAGGCCAGATGCCATGGGGATCTTGCCTGATACCACTGAGGAGTTTAAGTCATGTTCCTCATGTCTGTTCCAGAGCGTGACTGCCCCTCTTCCCCCTGATCCTGGCAGGGTGGGATGGAGGTGCCCTTGAGAGCCTCAGGATGAGCCCAACACAGAGAGGCAGAAGATTCCAAGAGGCTCACAGCCTTCCTGAGGTCCCAGCTGTGGTCCTCTCAGGGCTAAATGTAGAACTGAACAGATAATACTGAACACTACCTCATCACTGAGATCTGTGACATGGTCCATGCACAGAAGCAGCTACAGAGGGTCGATCTCAGGCTGCTCCGTTTTGTTTTGGGTGGGACAACGCAGATGCTCTGCTGCCTGAACCTCACCTCCAATCCCTAATGACATTCTTAACTCTGAGTTGTGTGTGAAAGGAACTAGTCAACTCAAAGGAGAAAGATGAAAAGGATGGGACTGTCTCTTGCAAATACATAGAAAGGTAAGTGATAGAAAAAGAAACTAAATTAGAGCAGAGAACCAAGGAACTGAGGAGAAAAAAGCACAACCAATAGTTGCATTTACTCCCAAGGCCCAGGTTTGCTGTTTCTTTTATATCACACCAGGGGCTTCACGCTGGTCTCTGTGGTGCCCTCTTGGGGCCGCAGAGGGAGGAGCATGGAGTGCAAGACAGGATCTTAGTGGCCAGAGCTCCAGCTCCTGTATACCCCTTCACGTGGAGTTCTGAGGCAAAGCAACATCAAGAACCACGGAACAGGAAGAAAAACAAACAAAAGTGCCTGACCTTCTAAACCAGAAAGAAGTGAGCTGAGAAATACAAATTGTTGACACCTTCTCAAGAGATGAGTGGGAGGTCAGGGGGTCCACTGAGAACAACACTTCAATACCTAAAGGATTTTCCTCCCTAAAAGGTGCTGCCCAGCTTACACAGGGCCTTCATGCACCTGAAATGCACGGTATGCATGTGCTCTTCTCCAAAACCTTCAGTTCCTTGCCTCACCAGCTTCTTCCTGAATTCCTTATTTTTGTCAAGGGTACCATCCATCTTGGTTTGCTGGCACAAAAACAGAGAGACCCCTTAAACACCTCCTTTGGCACCATGTACCAGTGCTAAGCTCTTTCTGTTCTTCTCAGAGATGCCACCCTGGTATAAATTTGCCACACCGGCAGACTGAGCTCCTCCACCTGTGTCAGCCCTGCACACACCAACTCTCCAGATACCTGAGCTCATGAGCCATCCTTCCACAACACTGCCTTCCCCTCGCCCCTTACACTGGACTGTGCTCCCCTACTATGGGCTACCTTACTAACCCCCTAGACGCTTCTCTCATGGCCCATATGTAATGTAGTGACCACCTAATAATTCTTCTCCCCATAGATCTGGGAGGGCCTGGCGTCAGGGGCTAGGTGTTGTTCTCAGCTAGGTATCTGATTTCCACAAGAATCAGACTGGAACAGCACTTGACACCTAGGAAGCCTCCAGAAAGGTCTCACCTCTGGACACCTTACTGAAAGAAACTTCAATTGGAGGGCCAACTGAAAACCCTCGGCAAAGCTGCTCGCAGCCCTCCACAGCATGTCCTCCACGCTCCCCTCACGGAAACACCCCTGCCCCTGCCCCCCCATTATCCACCTTCCTGAGTGCCTTCCCTCCTCAGGACCCAGCCCATGGGCTCACCTTGGACACCTGAATACTTTTAAAGCACCCAACATCAAGCACACTCAGATCAGCCAAACATGACTCTGCAGTGGGAGAGGGCACCAGTGCTTTGCATGCATTGCCAAGATGGAGCACTGCCAAGCAGATGGGTTCCAGCACACCTCAAGGCCTAGCTCAGGCCTCCCTCCTTGTGAAGGCTTCTGACTGCATTGCTATGCCCTTTACCTGAAGAGACAGTCAGCGTCACTATGGTCCTTATGTACAGACCACGTCTCCTCACTGCTGGCGATGCTCTATTACAGCACGATTAGCCTCACACACAGCTAATGCTAAAAAAAAAAAACAAGCAGTGACTGGAAAGGGGTACCTTTGGGCCACACCCGGACAGGCTAGAGGAGTACCTCATTATCTCCACTGCCTGCCTCCAGTGCTGGTGATGAATGCACCCACAATGCATACATCACCATGTGTTATTATTTTTCCGATTATTATTATTTCCAAGCAGATTAAATACAGGTCTAGACAACATAAGGCAAAGCCATTTATTTCAGTGAACATGAAATTTTCCATGGTCAGCCACATGAAGTAACTCCATTCTTTAAGGCCTATGAGCACGAGGCTCACACAAGCGTGCTGCAAACTTGACTAAGGGGTTGAAAAGCGCTCCAGGTCTCTACCACCAAAGGGAACAGGGGCTGTGCAACGGCTGGACCGCAGACTCTGACGCCCAAAAAGAGAAAGCACGATGTCTCAGGGGCTAGGCTGCGTGCTAGAGCTCACTCTAAGGACAGACACTTGCGCTCTACAACACTAGTTGTGGCGGGAGGCCTGGCCAAACGCTAAATACGATCTAAAAGCGCTTAACCACACTGGTGGCGGGGAGCACGAGCAGCTATCCAAAGGAGGTGGGAAAAAGGCTGATCCTTCTCCAGGGCTCCAGATGTCCCTACTGCTGCCTAATGACAATTACACTCAACCAATTAAGACAGCACAATGACAGTTGTATTGTCAGGAAGCCTTTGGACCCCAATGCTGATGGCTAACTAATACGTTAGCTGATGTGGCACTGGAGAAGAAAGAAGCCTTTTCCTGAGGAGTGATGAGGTGGCCAGGTTGGCACTGGTCGGTTACATCTTACTTTTTCTCTTTGTGGCAAGCTTGGTGGACCTCCCAACAACCAGGTCAGGGACCACAGCTGACTTTTGTTGAAAGAATGAGCATAAAGCCTGCCTGAGCTCAGCCCACCACAGCAACTGCCAATTTAAGATGATTTACCACCAAGGAACTTTCACTAGCTTGTAACTTTTCAATAGCCGACTTCTTATGCACACTAAGAGGCCAGAAGAAAAAGGAAGAAATGCTACCCAGCTGCAAACAGCCTCTACCTTTTTGCATGCATACCCGGCTTCCAAGCACAAGCTCCTACTTGCTAAAAACAAATTTGTTCACAGCTCTTCCTAACAACCTGGGGGTTGTTTTGATTTACGAGTGCTGAGAAGTAAGGTTAAGTGACTTACCCAAGGTCACAAGAAACATTTTAGTGGCACAGCTGGGACCAAAATGTGCCCAGGATTTTCTTATTCTGCTGCTTAGCCAACAAGCCAGTTTGCCCTTTCTAATGACAGCATTTAAACAAATACTGCTTTTAAGAGCCACCTCCACTTAAGTGCAGCGCAAGGACTCTGTCATTTTCAACACTCTCTCCCTTACGTGGTGCAGCCCCCGCCCTAATCCATCAATTCTACCACTATGCTTCAACTGGAAGGCGAGAAGCCAACAACAAAAGCTTCCTAAGGTAACAGGGAGCCCAGCCGTCCATACAGGACTGATGTGCAAGGATGCATAAAAAGGTCAGTGAAACTTCACCTGCCATAGGACTATCCCAGATGAAGTTCCAATTCTACCCGATCAGGTATCCACAGCAGCCTCAGGCCAGGAACTGCAAGTGGTTTCTTTTGTGTGTTAAGTCCCAAAACTGACAGTGGCTGCCTAGAGACCTGTGTTAAGAAGGATTCTAAAGCTGTACTCCAGGACCATTTGTGGCCAAGGCTGGCTGAGGAGTGAGGAGGGACAGCCCCATGCCCCACACAACACTCCTCCAGGCCAAGGGCTGGTTATCTTTCCAGACTCAGCAGAGGGCCTGGTCTGGCACAGAGCCAGGGTGCCCTTCCCTGGTGTGTTACGGTGTGGTGGTCTTCCCACCCTGATCTGTCATGGCTACCAGTTGCAGCCCCTGTTGACCTACGGACTCCTCATGAGCAAGGCTTGTGTGCGGAGCCCCGCGCTGAGTGCTACTGTGTTGCCACAATGAAGGATCTACTGACTGCAACCCAGAAGCTGAGGTGGGTAAGGCCTGCTGAGCATGAGGCAGGGGCCCCTAAAGGTGCAGGCTCACGTGCCAACAAGTATTTATGCCCTTAGCATGCAGAGGTTTTAAGAACTATGCACTTGCTCCATGCTTCCTTCAGCAGTACTCAAGCCTGCAAATCAATAAAAGCAAGAGTATTTATATTTTCAATGAAACGTAACTTGTTTTATGCAATTAACAAAATGAACTCAGTCCCGCAGTGCACAGTGGCTCTGTGGAAATGCACGATGGCAAACATCAAGCGGTGCTTACGACACATCAATTGAGAAATAATGAACGTCTTAATGGGCCTTACGAGACATGCACTGCACGCTTAAAGCCGCTTTCCATACGTCTCGGTTAATCACAATCAATAGAGTGAGAGTCAGTGAGGATTATGTGGAGTT